TATTCACAGAAAAACAAATGCAAATAGATCTTAAACAAATGGGAACATGTTTAGTATTGTACATGGTAAATAAAATATAAATTATAACCAGTAAATACAACTTTTTACCCATCAAATTGGCAATAATAAAAAACTGGGGATGAGGATGCATCTCAGTGGCACAGCATCTGTCTGTCAACTGTGAGCCTCTGAGCTTGCCTCCCAGTATCAAAATAATAATAATAATAATAATAATAATAATAATAATGAAACTCTACAGAAGCAACACACATTTATATTCAGTATTTGTATGGTTTTTTGCAACTTGCTTTTTTCACTTAATGACTTGTTTGGAAATCATTTCATCTCAGCATACAATGAGTTCCTTTGATTGGGTATGTTTGGGTGGTTGGTTTTTTTCCATACTAGGAATCAAACCCAGGGCCTCAAGTATGCTAGGTAAGCATTGTACTATGAGCTACACCCATCAGCCTTTCTGTTTTTAAACTGGCCACATAGAATCTCATTGTACATATATATCATTAATTCCCTATTGCTAAATATTATGTTATTTCCAGAATCTTCCTGTTACAAACATTAAAATGAACATCTTTTCCCATATGTTATTTCTTACATGACTATATCTGTAGAATAAATTCCAAAGGTGGAACTGCTAGATTGAACAGTGTGCATTTGTAATTGACAGATTTAACCAAATTTATTTAGATTAAAAGTTCTTCATTCTACCCTTATCTTGAATTCAGTATTTATCATTTCAATGTATACCTTTACATTTAGTACATAATCATAATTCTAAGGAATATATAATACAATTTTGAAGGTTTTAAAATCGTAAGTGGAGTTGTAGAAGCCAGGCACACAGAGGACAGCTACTGGGACTTGATGAGCCTTGCCCCACCCCTTCCCACCACCATGGCCAGAGTTCAGCTGAGCTGTGACCACTTCTCCCAACACTGCTGTCCCCGTAGCTCTGCTGAGCTGCCTCTGGCTGCTTGGTGAGCTCTACCCTGCGTTCCCCCACACATACTCCATCGAGAGAGCCTTATGGAGCTTCAGCCTGTTCTCATCATCATTGAGCTGTGGCTTTCCCTCCACCCCATCCCAGCAAGGTGGAAGCCACACTGAAACCCACATAGCAGGAGCTTTGGTGAGCCTACCCCAGGCTCCTACTCTTATGGGAGTCTCGCTCACTTGAACTCTGCACCCCTAATATCCCTACAGAGTCAGGGTGAACACTGAAAGCTTCAAATATGTCAAAAGGAAAGAGAAAATGGCAATCTCAGACCTCCAGCCAACCCAAAATAGGTCTTCAAAGGTCATAGAAGAACTTGAAAGTTACACACCTGAAATTTAGCAACTAAAGAAAAGAAAAAAACAAAAACAAAAACAAAAACAAAAACAAAAAACCTCCATCATGCTATGAAAGAAAACAGATCAGAAATAATCTCTCAGGTGAAAAAAGAAATGCCAACAATCATGAAAGAATTGCTCAGTACATCTAAAGAACACATAGATAAAATTAGAGGGGAATAGAAAAATGATAGAAATGTTGAATAAACAATACAGGAAAGAATAAGACATTATGAAACAGATTCAAACAGATATACAGGACATTAAGAATTCCACTGAAAGTTGGAAAAACCACTTGACAAAACTGAAGACACAATTTCAGACCTTGAAAATAGCATTGCAGCTATTTTTGAACACAAAAGGAAAGATCTTTTAAAACTAATAATACACCAGGAAATAACAATGCAACAGCTGCATGATGATGCAAAGAAAAATGATATAAGACTAATAGGTATCAATGAAACAGTTGGAGTCAACACAAATGACATAAAGACTGTTTGCAAAAGTAGTAGCAGAAAATTTCCCAAGCATGAGAAAAGAATTAGACATACACATAAGTGAGGCATACAGAACTCCAATTAACCATAATTAAAATAAATCTATACCCATAAATAAAATAATAAATTTAAAATTAATCTACATAATAATTAAGATCCCAGAAATTCAGCAAAAGAACAGAATGATAAAAGCTGTTCGAAGAAACAGATCATATATAATAGAAAGTCCATCAAAATTATGGCAGATTTCTCAACATAAACCATCAGATCAAGAAAAGCTTGGAGAGAGATATTTTAGGTTCTGAAAGAAAATGCATATTTTGGGTTGGCTGGAGGTCTGAGATTGCCATTTTCTCTTTCCTTTTGACATGTTTAAGCTTTCAGAACCTACAGAACTACCTATCAAATTTAATGGAGAGCTATTTCCATGACGAAGAAATTCATGAGCACCAAACCAACTCTACAAAGAGTACTGATGTCTATTTCAAAAGAGACAAAAATGACAACTTCAAGAACAACAATAGAAAAGAACCACCAAACAGAGCAATCAATGAAACATAGAAGGAAAGTAGGGATCTTACAGTAGAAAATAACATGACAAAGATATGCTAATACATATCAGCCTCATATCAGCCAATCAAAAAAGAAAGAAAGAAAGAAAGAGACTGGCAGAGTGGATCAAGAAATAAAAATCCAGGCCTGGGGAGATGGCTCAGTAGAATAAACACTTGCCTGGAAAGTGCAAGGACCTGAATTCAATCCCTGGTTCTGCAAAAAAAAAAAAAAAAAAAAAAAAAAAAAAAAAAAAATTAAAGGAAATAAAAATCCAATATGCAGTATATAAGAAACACATTTACCTCAAAAAGAAATTAACAGGGCCCGCCAGACAGCTCAGCTGATTAAAGCACCTGCTTAGACAGACGCAGAGACTAGGGTTTATTCCCCAGCGTGCCATGCCAGCCCTGCCCCTGGGGCATGCCTAGATGGCAATTGAGACTGGACACAGTGAATCCCAGTGCTTAGGGGCTAAAAAACAGGAAGGATCACTATGAGTCTGATCCATGTAGTGAGACCCTGTAGACCCCGTACTAAATACATTTTAAAAAAAGAAAAAAGAAAATAGATTGAAAGTCAAAGGATGGAAAATGATACTCCATGCAACAAGAACCCAGAAAAAAGTAGGAATAGCATATTCTGGTTGCTGACAATGTCAGCTTCAAACCAAGAATGATTAAAAGAGATAAATAAAGTCACTACATACTTTTTAGAGGGAAACTTCAAGAGAAAGAGATAACAATTATAAAAATATATGCACCCAATGTAAGAGCTCCCAACTATATGAAACAAATTTTAACAGACATGAAAAATCAAATGAGCAATAATACAATTATACTGGGGTACTCTAATATCTCATTGGCATAAAGAGATCAACTAAACAAAAAAATCAGCACAGAAATAACAGAATAAAACCAAACCTGTGAAGAAATGAACTTAGTAGACCTTTAAGAATGTCCCACCCTACAGAGTCAGAATACACTTTCTTCTCAGCTACACACAAGACATTCTACAAAATGGACCATATACTAGAACAGAGAACATGCTTAGGCCAATGCAGACAGAGAGAGAGAGAGAGAGAGAGAGAGAGAGAGAGAGACAGAGAGAGACAGAGAGAGACAGACAGACAGACAGACAGACAGACAGAAAGACAGAGACAGAGAGGGAGGGAAGGAGAGGGAAGGAGGGAGAGAGAACGAGAGAAAGAAAACGCAGTGATAAATTAACGAACGGCATATGCTTTGGACAGATGTCTGTTCAGAGCGTACCTTCTTGCACCAGAGTGCAGAGCGCTGTGGCTGCCTCAGGGAGCACTGCCTCTTTCTGGAGTCAACTTGGAGTTTTACCCAGAGACACTGCTTCACACCAGTTCCTTTAACCCTTCCAATGATTTTATAAACACTTAGGTTTCTGCCTTTAACTTTTACCAACTTGAAGTATGTACAATTTTTTATTGTTTCTGTTGAACTCTGACAGAGATGACAAAAATATTCCCTTTATCATTAGTATTTTATTGCTGTGCTTTGAAGATCGCTGGACAAGTTACCTCTTTTACTATTAATTGCTCATCTACATAGTTCTGCCATAACAGGCTACCATGAACTTAGCTTAAGCAACACAGATTTATTATCCCAGTTGAGCAGGTCAGAGGTCCAAGGCAGGTCTCAAGGGGCTAAACTTAAGGTGCTGACAGGGCTGTTTTTTCTAGACGCACTACAGAAAGATCCATTTCAACGGTCATCTGTGTTTAACAGAATTCAGTTCCTTAAAGTAAGACTGAGATTCCTGTTTACTACATAGTTGTCAGCTGAGTTGTCACTAGAAGTCCCAGATTCCTGTATCCAATTGCATTGTTTTCCTTTCCCTTTCCTCATACTTGAGATTGAATCCCGGACCTTGCACATACTAGGCAAGAGCTCTTCACTGATCTACAGCCCCAGCTATTTCTAAATTTTATTTTGAAACAGTTTTGCTAAATTGCTCAGGCTGGCCTTAAACTTGTGATCCCCTTGTGTCAGCTTCACAAGTCACTGGGATGACAGGCACGCAGCTCACGCCCTGCCCTACTGCACTCCTTGGCTTGTGTTCCTGCTCCTCCATCTCAGAGCCTTGGTGGCAGGCTGAACTCTCAAGCTTCAGATCGGCCTTCTGCCTCATTTCTCTGGCCCACTACACTGTCCTCTTTTCTACTTTCAAAGGTTCAGGAGGTTAGGTCGTGCACACTCTGACAGCCCAGAATAATCTCTTCATCTCAGGGTTCTCCACCTTTATCACATCTGCAATGTCCTCTCTGCCCTGTGAGGGAGGTGGCTGCATGTTCTGGCATTACAGTGAGGATACTTCAGGGAAGCGACAGCAACATTATATGTCTACTTGATCTTCACGTTTAAAAAACTCCCACTCATTTGACATCAAAACTTTAATGTCAGCTTATTGTTGCATTCCAAAATAGCTCATTAATTTTTCAAAGTGCTTCTCAAACATCTCCTGACTACCAGTTAATATGAAATATAACCATGATCTGTAGGCACAAAACAAAGTGCAGTACAGCAGCAGGATATAAAAGTTAACAGGCTTTCTTCCAGTCTTTTGAGCACTGACACATAGCTGAATAATAATACATTGTACTCAAGTACTGTCCTGTATGGTTTTACAAGTGCCTTTGTATCCATTTCATTTATGCTATACAATATCCCTGGAGGGCACATAAAATTGAGAAAGCCTATCATTCTCAATGAAAAAGTAACTTGCCCAAGTATGGTAACCCTGTCAAACAAAAAAAAAGAAAATGATAGACACCAAGGGATAGGTAGGGAGAAAATACATGGATAAATAATACTTTTAAAATGAGCAGGTTGTGCTTCCCTGGCAAGCACAAGGGTCTGAGTTCAATCCCTGGTCCCGCCAAAAAAAATAAAAATAAAAATAAATCAATAAATAAAACGAGCAGGTTGCACTAGGGAGGCTGAGGCAGCAGAAATGCCATGAGGTGGAGGCCAGCCTGGACTACCTAGGAAGTACAGAGCCAGGCTGAACTACAAAGCAAGATCCTGTCTAAAAAAAAGTGTCACAATCTTCACAGAAACTAATAACGTTTAGAATAATAAAAAAGCAACAAACAGGGGCTGGAGAGATGGCTCAGTGGTCTAAAGCACCTACTTAGAACAAGCTTAGC